CGTTGTAGCAAGAACAATAGGATCATGTTTCACACTTGGTTTGCCTTATTTGTGCAGCTGAAGTCTGTGATCGCTTTTCATTGGACTATACTAAGCTCACTCGATGGCCCATATCTCGGCGAGATCGTTTCAACTAGTTTTCGAAGTTATAGCTCAGTGCAAGGGCAAAAAATAGAAATGCGTTTCACATTCCAGGTTTTCTCTGCACATACAATTATATATGCACAAAAAGTATAACGACTTGTAGAGAAGGTCACTTTTCGTCATAGTGATTTAAAGCGACTAAAGAATTTCACGGAAAATAGAAAAATCTTTGCTGAAAAACGAGAATCGCGCGCCTTTGGCGATATTGATTACACTGCCGTCCGCAAAGGGTTAAAGTTCAAAACACTCCACTAGTCACACAAAGGACACAAATACGAAGCAGAAGAGAACCCAAAGTGAAACTCAGTGTTCTCTTCTAGGAAAGCAAAACAGCTGTGCTCAAAACTCAAAAACAAAAGTGCTCCGAATATATTTCAAAATTCCAGGATTGAACAGCAAAGATGTTATCATTGAATATATTGTAACATCATAGTCATCATTGTGATAGTGTAACATCATAAGAAAGAGTGGTGTACAAAACGGGCGTCAGTAATGCAACGGTTCAGCACTCGCTCTCGGAAAGAGTGAGATCTGGGTTCGAATCCCAGCTGACGCAAACGTTTTTACACACCACCATACATCATTGGGTATATTGTAACATCATAACACCGCAAGGGCAGCGAAATAAAGAGCATTCTAATTGATTACTGTTAACGGAACGTCAATCCTGGGAGCTGAAACAACATCATTTATAGGACCACTGGTATAAGCTAAGCTTTCGCATATCTGATGAACTTCTGTTCTGTAACACGGTGCACAATATTGGTCATGATAATGAATAGGGAAGACTATGCACCTTTTTTGATGATAGAAGTTGGTTGGAAATCAACGTTTAGATACTAGTTTCGCTACTTTTGCATTGTTTCAGCACTAGTTTTTTCTAGTACAATTATTCGCTGGCTGTCATATTTATAATAAGACCCATTTATCACCGAAAGTTACAATGCAATTGAGAAATCGTGCCATAATTGCTGTAGAAAGGAAGCACATCCATTCAAACTGTGATCATTCATGCTCATAACTATATAAATCTCATCAAGCCTACCAGGTGATAAAATTTGGCAAGCCAGAAAGACCACAATGCTACGCAGAGAGGGATACAAGCTTCAGTTCATCAGTCACCGTTTAGTCTGCTTTCTTTTACTCTTTATAATCCATAAACGAATTAGTCTTCGACAAAATTTTGACGCAGTACTAGACAGACGAGGATACGTGAAGAAATCATGTAATAAAAAGAATGCGACAAGGCGTTCCAATGATAACGAAGCGTGCTCGTAATGATCTCTTGTGAGCTACAACAGCTTTAAGACCACATTTTTGATATTCTAAAGCAACGTTATTTATGAGTAAGGTGAGTGATTAGACAGAATGATACCAACTTGCTGAAATTCAATGCAGTTTCAGCCGAAGGCGTCATCCTGAGATTGCTATGTTGTCAAAGTGAGGGTTAATGTGATAGCCATCCTGTCCTCACTGTTCTGATGATATAGCTATTATAGCGTTAAAGGTATTCGAGGAGGATCTGCACATGCAATAGAGCATTGACTGTCGGTGGCCAAATTTCTCAATGGAAGTTCTGAAAGGAGCAATGAAACTTTTTGTGTACTTTAGGAGAACAAGCTCATTATTATACGTCTGTATCGCGACAAGCACAGCTTGATTCATTGCTGGCGTCTGTTTAATCACGAGTGGCTATTATTTTCGCATTAACTTTTTCAAACGATAATGCTTTGTGTTCTCCCATAGAATTGGTTTTATCCATCCCACTTCGGACATCGCGCGACAGCTTTAGGGCGCATATGCTAGTCCCTCATTATTCTACTCTGCTGCTCTCTGTATTTCTTTCAACTTTTATCAGTAGGGATTTTGAACATCATTAATCATTGCATAGATCTGGGTTTCTGCTAGACTTGAAGTTTCATTGCAAAATAAACATAAATTCGGAAGGCAGAAAGAGTTTATAAAACGCGTCGACCCACTATGGGCTAACACTTTCATTGCTCGGGAGTGATTTAATCGCCGTTTAGTGAGGCCGCAAAGCTCGCCCATACCTACTAACCTCTCAAAATCAGCAAACCTGTAATGAACTTATTACCCCTAAGCTCGTGAGCGAGCGGTCACGCAATTTCGTGTCAGTGAAAAGGAAGTTAGAGGTTTTTATGGATCAAAAGATCAAAGATTGGAAAAGATTAAGGGTAGTATTATTACAAAGACTCTAATGTTAAATGCTCACGATTTGAGAACTGCTATGAAGGATTTGTCACCATGACATTGTTGTTGATCCAAGCTCCCTTTGTGGTGAAACCTCTCCTACAGTATGTCTCATTTACATCCAATATCTGACTGACTTCTCATGATGACATGGATGCCTATAAACAAAAAGAGAAATAATCGTGGCGATATGCTATTTTCATTTACTTGATAATGTTTCTTTTCCATGAATTCCACAAGCAAAGACAACTTTCACCTCATTTCAAGACATTGGTCAGAGGCCTCGCTAATATATTTCGGCATAATGTTATTTGTGCAGCTTCTTCGATGAATGAAGCAGAACTAATGAAATTAGGGAGACGTTGAGGTCACAACTTTTTCTTTTATTTAGTGGTCAATGATTACATAATGGATAAAGAATAAAAGATAAAGCTCTCGGCGTTGTTCAATCCCTGAGGGATGCGTCATGCTTTCGCTTCTAGATTTCAGCTTCGTTTGAGGTGAGTGGATGTAAATCTGACTATTGAAATGACTTATGGTGGCCTCCTGCTGTAGCGAGTCAGTGCTGCTTATCCTCCAAAACAAGTAGGAGACGAGTCCGGTACCAATTTACCGACCCCGGAGGAATGGATGGCTTGGGGAACCATGAGTGCGGCATGGAACCATTAACCTCGTGTTCGATGCAGAGTACCTCTAACCACTGCGCCACATGCGTTCAACGAATGCATATGCATAAATAATATGTAAGAACATCCCACTTTTCAAAAAACCACTAGTGCTGTTTTCCTACACTGCCACATTACTCCACTACCATCTGGCAAAAGATTTTAAATGCGGCAAATTCCAACGCTTTCAAAAAGACTGCCTTCAAATTTTGCAATTTCTAAAAAAGAAAAAATAAAGATAAATTATAGGTTTGTGCAATAGCTGCTCTTGACCCTCTGATAAGTTCTGAATTAGTCTGCATATGCTGCGACCGAATTTTTCAAACAGCAGCTGACACTGACGACGGTGTAAAGTTTAACAATAGAGTACCAATCATCAGTAGATTGTACGAATTGTCACAACAACCAGCGTCAGGAAAACTCAGAATACCTGGATTTTATTACCTGTGCAACATGCATGGGAAAAATCATTGCCCAACAAGTGCAACGCTAAGTAGAAGAAATAAGTCAAACATGATTTTTAAAGCGATAATGTACTCTAAAAGCAATTCAGTGAAGATGTATACATTTTAGAGTTAGTTCGTCTTTTTATAGGATAAACACCTCACTGACACATTACGATTCGACACCTTTAGCCGCCGTTCGTGCTGCTTGATGGAATATCTGCATTATTACTGGCTCAATTAGAATTTGAAAAACTTCGAGCTTTTACAAGCTGATGTTGAGCGCCTTGATGTGCTTCTTTTTTTCAATGTGTAATTTTGAGCTCAATTGAGTGTCCAGTTGTCGCTCATAAAGTTAGTCGCCGTAAAATAGCTTGAAGACATAATGATAAAGCTCAAGTTTTGTCGAACACATCAGTTTCCATGGGCTGCTCGATAAGCAGATACGTCATAATCCACTCATACATTGTGTGTCGAAGAATTAAAGAAAATCTTTTGAGAACTTCTGTATCAGTGCACAAAACTTGACGCGATAAAAGTAATGCTTGCACTGAAGAAATTTCTTTATACGTGTTTTCGCAAGTGAACGAATTTATAAATTCGTTGAAGCATTGCAATACTGGAAAACGGATAAGTATTTTGGGTTGTGTGCCAGCTTCTGACCCCATAGGCTAAGAGACATCTCTTGCAAAAAATAATCTCCTTCGTGAGCACCCAGCGCACAAATATTTGACATTGTCAATGAAAATGTAAACCACAATTTGTGAAGAATTCGGTCATCACCTTTAGAATATAAATAAAGACTACTCCAAAGCGGGAAGAGGCATGGGCCGGAGTGGTTTGTGATTCTTGGCGTGACTCGACTATTGTTGGTTCTCGCCTTCCTCTCACCGTTTTCCCAACACGGTCTTTGGCAATCAATACAACGCGCAACCATTTGGCTTTCCTCACGATCGGGAGTGCTCGACCAGCATTCTACGGTGATACGACGGCTGTGGTGATGATGAAATCTCCTAGCAAAACGAGGAGAGGAAGTCTAATTCTAGAAGTACTTGTATGCCCCACAGTAATAAAAGAAGCGGAAAAGTATGTAGTACGATGTCAATTGAAAGTGACGAAGAAACTGTACAGTAAGGGAAAGGAGATGATGGCAAGAGATCCCAGGATAGCCAATCAAGCAAAGAATTTCAGTGTAAACTTATGAAATTTATATGTTTTTTGACTGCATTTTCGATGTTTCTTAATGGCATCTAAGATAATTTGAGTGGTTAACAAAACATGCCTCCCTCGGGGATCGAACCCGCGTTCCTGCCAATACAACCACCGAGGCGCATTTGCTCACCACTCGATTCTCTTAGATGTGTATTGCAAACATCGAAAAATGCGGTCAAAACCTTAGAATTATAAGTTTTACATATCACATGGCTGTACACATCAACTGGGTTTATCAAGCGAAATCGCATACCGACCATACCTGTCAAAGGATGGTGGCTGATAACCAACATAGATGCTTGAAATGATTGCTGGTGCAAATGTGCCCTTGGTGGTGTAGCGGTAGAGCACGCGTCCTCGGCTAGGATGAAACGTGTGGTTCGATTCCGGACTTGGAGAGCGTGTTTTTGCTCACCAACTGCAATTATCTTCATGTAGAACGTTGGTGGTAGTGAATATCGTAATCGTGTTCCACATCCTTCTACAGGTTCACTGACACGGTTTCTCTACTGCCGGAGATTGTACAGGTTTTCACTCGAAACTGCTCCACACCATGATGACGTAAGATCTCATGGCGTGCACATTTGGAGTCTAGAAGTCCTCGTCACTGAAATATGATTGTACAGCCGTAGAGCGTACGTATTGGTGTGGTGTTTTTCGAAACTGCGACGCGTTAACTTCTCTGCCATACGACTAGCGCCAGCTTCCGTTGATACCCCACACATTTCGCCTTACCTTTTTGTGACCTTTATGTATTTCTTTTCCAAAGTTTCTCAAAAAATGTATGAAGAAAAAATTGAAGATTTTGTTCAAGACTACCTCTATGACTTTCACTACTCTTTCATTGAATCAAGATTCCTGATATTAGGGCCATAATCGTAACTACAACCTTTACTATTGACCAATGCGTCATTAATATACACCTCTCCATGAGTTGTATATGGTTTATATTGTTGGTCGTGTTCTTTGAGCCGAAATTTTTTGTCTCTCTCTAGCTCGTCTAGTTTTCAGTATATTCACGTTTTTTATTAACTTTGAATGAATACATAGCGAAATGCTCCTATTGGCTTTTTTGTCAATTTAAGCGTATGAAATGCAATATTCGATGGGTAGCTGGTTGTTTTTTTTTCACTAAAGTCATTGTCACAATTTATGGTTATCCTATCTAATGAAAGTTTATGAGAATATTCAAAAATCGAAATGAAGTAAGCAATGTTTGGACCGCTTATAGCACATAGGCTGGAAATTTCCGGCAATGCAGGTGGAGGTCATTGGTGCGATCACGCCGCGGGAAGTCGTATCATTCACCCATTCGAAGCTGTCAAATTGGCTGCATAGTTTACAGCTACTTCTGCAATGATCAGTGAAGTAGGATGCACGCCGCATCTTGTAGAGATTGATCTACGCTAAGCATGCTACGTATACATCTGTGATATCCAGTGATGCAGAGCAAAACTTTCGCGTCACGAGGAACGCCAACCCACATCTCACTCTATCCGGGAGCGTGTGCTCTAATCCGTTGCACTACTGATGCTCACTTTACTCACCGCTCTTTCTACACTACAATGCATCTATCTGTCAGCCGCCTACCGTAATTATATATTTACACATTTCGCAAACCGGTAAACAAAGTCTTACATCATCCTAACTGTGTACTGAAAGACTTGTTGTGGTACACTAAAGTTGAAAATTGTTGAAAGCATATAAAAATAAAATGGTTGATTTAGAAGAAGCAAGGCGTCTCTTAACGCATCTCCCACTCAGGTAGGCGTAAAAAGACGAAGTATAGCAGATGTGCTTTTTGCCTTGGAGGCTGACCATATAAAGCTACTGGCATTTAATTCCATTACCTTGAAGTAAAAATCGAAAAAGAAACTTAAGAGATAGAAATTGTATCTAATATTGCATACAGGAACAAAGTACAAAATTTTAACTGGACATATAGTGACATGTTACCTCTGCAGTGTACGATGTGAAATTTTCACTTCACACACGCGCATGTAACATATTCGTGGACGATTTCTTTATGTAAGGGGTTCTCTTCTCACAGGGATTGGCTCAGATGAAAGGCACCGTAAAACTGACGAGGCTGCAATGCCGAAACACGTGAATTGCACTGTATAAGCGCAGATAAAATTCCTCATGAAAGGCTCAGAAATGCATTGCAAGAATTAAAGTGCTCTGTAACATTATTTGAGAATAAAGTAGTGATGAGTTATGCGTTAATTTTGATGTTTGATAAATAAATAGATGCTGTGACTAGCCTTACCTTGCTGCCAATGTATAGAATACAATTGAGAAGAAGAACAAATGAATCCTTATAGAGGAACTGAAAAAAACTGTGTGAATTACTGAAAGCATAGTTGAAAATGAAAGAACCAGTCTGCAGTGTTCTATATTGTGATCACCACACGAAATGCTCATTGTTCAGACCTTCAGTTGTTGATAATCTAAAAGTAACCGGCTGATTTTTCTTTGCGCTTTTTCGCATTCTTATTCTAGATCTGGAAAACTTATTTGATAACCCACAACATCCTATACATACATTATGTTGTACGTAAGTACGATTTTATACAATTTTTGGGTCATTTATGAGCTCTCCTGATCTTTTTTGAGGATTTTTCCCATTTCGTGAGCCGACCGAAAAAAACGACAATCTCGAAGAATTCGTCGAGTGCTTACAGATTTATAGCACCCGTTTTCACATTTTATTATGTAATTCTAGTACTTCTAACAATCTACTTCGCATTCATCGTTTGAGAGTACTGATTGGGCAATCATCTTGTAATCTCAGAGATAGTGAGGCCAGGGCATTTGATCGACTGCCGCAGAGTGGTGGAAGAAGTGAGGTAATCAATTGCGCACTATGTCACTAACCACTCGACCGCTGCCTCCTCCTTCATTTACTGATTACTGGTTACTAAATCAGTGCTGAATTCAGTGCGATGCAGCGTTGCTCTCTATAAAAGTGAGAAAATCTTTGGAGACAACGGTACATTTTCTTCATTCTTCAAAACATTCCACATTCTGTAGACTAACGAGTCGGATAAATCGGTCATGAAGAAGACAAAGACGTTAATACACTATGAAGGTTATAAACACCTTCATGAGAATTCTAAAGAATCATACTCATTATTCTTCACTGCGGTTCTACTTCTCATTGTTCTAAGAGTGCGATTTGGTAGTTGATTGAATATCTTTTTTGAGCCTATTTCGGTTCAAATTTCTATTTGATTGACAAAGTTAACGCACTACTTTCAAGATTCATATTATACAATGCGTTCCTTTCGAGCAAAATGAGCAAAGGAATTTAGACCAATTTATACAAATACTAGCAAAAACACTATGTAAACAGAATTTGCTCTGTGTACCTCAAAAACCCTTAAGAAACGATGGAAGTGGTGCAGTTTTATGGTAGAAGAGTTTTTTTTAATCATATACAAAGTTGAATATGTCCTAATATGAAAGACTCATTTATTACTAGGAAAGGAAATCCGGCCTGTAGGGTGAAAAATGCCACGGAAAAAAGCTATATATATGGTGGACACTCTAGCTCAAGTTCGTTACGCCATATCACAAAAAAGCCTGAAAATAAAAACTTGTATCGCTTGCTAACTCGAGTAAACTTAAAAGTGACCGCCACGGTGTTGACTGCGCTACAACTTCGAACTGCAGCTTATCAAATATGCGAACAAAAAAACGCACTTCCGTTGCTGCTGTCGAAATAAATTCACTGTTTCTTCTGAGGCACAGCATTGAACGACACGAGTCCCAGTCATTACATTTGGTCGTAAAATCGTTGACGAGATCGTACTAAGTAAATGACTCTACACATCTCCAGCTGCTTGTGGTACAGCATGTTTATAACGTTGCGTCTCTTGAGTATAATGAACAGTTGTCTATATGTTTAAGTTGTGAATGTTGCTTATGACAGCCATTGATCTGTCGACCGAGCCGTCATCTCATTTTGATGATTGGCTTCCAAAAGGAGGACAATGTCATGCTTCAGTGACATCAGTTTCTATTAGCTGGATTCAGTCTTTCGGATTCGCGCGCTTATTTTGCTTCCTACCTATCAAGGCTTTTATCGAATTAGATGATCCTTTCTTACACATCCCTCATCTACAAGCTTTAGTACTTTCATTCAATCTAAGATTCGAAGTGTTATAGTTGAGTGAGTTACTTTCCAATCTGATTATGAGGAAATACAGTGATTTAGGTCATAATTCTGCAACTATCACAGCTGCCGACCTATTTATAATTGCTTTTTTGAAACTTCTACTTTCCTAATCAATGCATTTCTCGCGCAGTTTGAGAATACACTGTGGAACTGAAAACCTTAGCAAAGGCTCTTCGATCAGTTTATCCGTTGATGTACACTGACAAGTTTTCGTTAATTTAGCTCATTTTGTAATTTGTTTCAGTTTCGGCCTAAGAAGCTGGTTCCGCAGCGGTGATCAGTGGGACCGATTGAACAGAGTTTGTAAACCCTTAAGGGATGACGTGTATCAGCAGAGACACACGATTGCTTGAAGGCCTTTCTTGCTGGGCAAACTTTTTTTCTTGAACATATGTAAGATTTTTGCAAAAGCGTTTTTTACTACATAGTAGCAGCGAAGCTAAAGTTATGTTTCAAACCCAGTTTGTTTTATTTGCTCGGTTAGGGCCTGTTTATGACTCTTCGCCAAGCTCTTAGAAGTCATTCGACAGCCCATCTTGGAAATTTGGGTGCTACAATCGGTTCTTGAAAGGTTACCATAGAAAGCTCTAAGAGCAAAAAGATTACGTTCTGCACTCAAAGTTTTTATTGTACACAAAAGTTATATATGCACGAGAAAAGATGATCAAGTAGAGGAAATCAGTCACAGAATGACACAAGAAACGTGAAGTGCTACTTTCCAAATGAAGGAAAAATGGTGATTGAATGAAGAAAATCGCGCGCCTCTTCCGAATTGCGCTGTGTGATCAATCAACTACCGTCGCTAAAAAGTTGAAGTTTAACGTCAATGATTGCTCACGTGTGGTGGAACAGTCGTATGGTGTAGATGGATCTTCTCCTTCTTTCACTTGCTAAATTTTTCCGCACCCGAAATTTCTCATTGCACTTTTAGTATTCAGTCAATGGTTCATTCACTGACCAATGTTTTAGCTCCAAATGGAACTTTTGTTATTTGACCGCTTCTAGCGGTGGTACGATGTTTCAAATGTACCCAGTGATGTAGAGTGATATGCAAAACTTTCGCGTCAGGCGGGACTAGAATCCGCACTTCACGCTTTCCAGGAGCGCGTGCTCTATCCGTTACACTCTTGACGCTCATTTTGCACACCTCTCCGTTGACGGGTGGCGGCTGACAGATAGATGCGCTGTAGCGTAGAAAGAGAGGTGTGCAAAATGGGCG